AATAAAAAATCTGGTACGCGCAACACATAATTTTCACTTACCTCTACTTCGAAAAGGAATTCTTGTCTGGCAAAAATTGGGCTGTACAAAAAGTTTTTGTAGCGCATTTTAATGGATATATATTTTTGAATTTCTACCATATTCATCAAAACAAAAATCATTAAGACAATCAAAATAACATAAACTCTATTTATTACATCCATTATAGGCAATATAAACCTTATAACTACATTAGTGTATTTGAATCATTCTAATATTCTTAAATCTATTCTCTGAGCTAATCTAGACAAAGATAGATTTGAAAGTACATGTATTTAATTATGAATAAGTAAGGTCATACTGCACAGTAAAATTATAGGAATTAAGTATCTATCACTTTTTACATCTATTTAAATTATTAATTATTACCCTTGGAAAATTTAGCAAAATACAGTTACTTGCTTTTAAATACAGCATCGATAAGTAAAGAATCATAACAGTGATTGTATGTGTGTAAAGTGATTTTTTTTGGAACAAATCGACGATGTATACCTAATTGTTTAAATATACTAACGATCTAGAGTCTTTAAATTATAGTAAATGTATTTACCGTTACAAACATGTTTTACCCATCCATGATATCTTTATATTTCAAGGAAGGAGATGGTCCGCGGTGGCGGTCATAAATAGTGGTAAAACTATTTTATTAATAGCCAACGTTTCAACCCGACTTTGCAGGTCCTCTTCAGGGCTAGAACGGACAAGATGCAAAAAGATATTGTGGAAGTTACATCATATTTAGATAAAAAATTATAAGCAATGTGAATAAACTTATTAAAATTATAAACAGTAAGTACATTAAAATATTAAGAACAATAAGTTGTATAAACAGAGTAAGCTAAGTGACAAGAGCCTAAACTGAAGTAAATATATGGTAACAGTTGTTGTAGTATAATATATGCACTTGTAAATATATTCCTACAGATCTACAGAACAGACTGGAAGAAAATGAAAGAGGATATAATATGAAATAATAGACATAAAGCGATGTGGGGAAAGAAAAGAAAAAATCATAAGTTATCATAAAATCAATCATAAAAAATCATAAAATCAAAAAATAAAAATAAAACATAAATAAATAAAATTAGAAGAATAAAAACAGACCCTTATAGGTGTGTTCAGCAAGGAGTTTCACTTAGAACTGGAAAACCTGGGTAAGTATTGGTGAAATTTGCTGACCTGGTTGGAAAATGGTGAGGGGGTGAGCAGTGAAAGTAAAACAAAGCTTGGATTATTACAGTAATTAGAAGATATGGGTGGATACAAGGGAAAATACTATATCTATGAAATACTAGTACTAATACTAATAATACTATGAAATAATTGTTAGTTATCTAAAATAAATATTATTTTAAATATTCTTCCCCGTTCAACAAAAACGTGACATACATATTTTAAAAAAACTTAAATTCCCTGTTTTTCTGCGAAACATCGGGTCATGATTTATACAAGCATTTTTATATTTATTGAGTTTTGCTATAACACGTTTAAACATTTCACTTTACTTATGAACACCCTGTATATTCATTGCATGGTATTTAAATGTACAATTTGCTTGCGATTTGTACAGGAAGGTTTATATTCAACTGATATGAATGCATTTAAGTGGCTCTTATATTACCTTATATTATATAATTTCAAAAGCTATCTTGATCTCTGAAGATGAGTTGATTATTGAAAATACTAAATCAAAATGTAAAAGAGTTTTCAATTAATTACCTGGTATATGAAGAGCTTCATTCCAACTATGTTTTCAAATTCTGTTATCATATTAATTATTTTTCTAATACTTTTGTTTGAAGTTTTACAACCTCTAAAATAAATCCTATTCTATGAGTCAAAAAAGGACATATTAATGATTTGTGATTATACATTTATAAAGTTGTAATAAAGTTCCATACAACAGAGTAAGGTTACCCACCATTATTTGCAGGCAGAGATCTTAGCAACTCTTGTTTTGAATAAAGTTTGAGTTGTGCTTCGCTTTTATACTCCAAGTTAATTTACTAATGTGGCAAAGTACTACAATGGTACTTGCTAAGTTTCAAGGAGCAGCTTTCATTTTCGGTAAAATTCATGAGTCAAGGCTTGTTATAATTTTGAAATGATCATTGGTACATCATCTGTCATTACAGATAATTTGTTAATGACGAGTAAAGAATTCTTGATAGATAGAAATTGAATGTATCTCAAATAATAAATATTTGAGGAAGGAATCGTTTTAAAATCCATACCTGTATTTAATCAAAAATATATAACCCACACTTAGAAGAAATTATTTAAAAACATAACAAAGGCATGTGCTTTAGACCACACGATGTAAGTGAAAACGACGAAGACGAGATGCATAATATAAAACATAAATTTTAAATAATATCTCATTATAAAGAGATTGAGTTACTGAACATTTGCATCGCTTACTGTATACAGATCCGATTTTTAGTTTCTGAGATATTTTAATTCATATCTTCCAATAAAACTCGTTATCATTTGTTTTTCGACACTTTTTTTTTATTTTTCGCCTTCCTACATTGCGTCGCGTTATGATACAATTTTGAATAATAGCTCGTTAGAAAGAGGATGAAATTATGTAAATTTCCTCTCTTACAATATGCAGGTCCGATTTTTAGTTTTTGAGATTTTTTTTAATCCATCTGCAAAAACACTTCAATTAGACGATTCCAGTCGACTTTACCCGAGCGTTACACATCAAAGAATTTTTCATATCAAAAATACAGTGGAGTCAAATAAAGTTTTCGAACAAATCAAATATTTATAAAAATGATTAACGCTACAATTTATTTATTTTTTTGTTGCCTCTACTCTGCAGGGTCATTGGCAACACCTTCTAATTAAATTATATTATGGTGTTTCACCGCTTTCAGGAATTCTAATATGTTTTTGATTTGTCTTTTCTTTCGTCTTTTACGTTTTGTGATAGGTTTGGTGTTTTATCCAAATTTTCTCTGACATTTTTAGGTGTAGGGTCAATCTTGAATAGTGTGTTTTACAGTTCTTTGGACATTGCATACATCACATGTCGGAGGATCAAGTCCTTTTAGTAAGTAGAACTGCTTCAATTTAAAAGTGTTTTTACCTTCTGAATTAATTGTAAATTATTAAATTGTAAACTAATATAACCTTGCAGACATTTTTGATGCAATATAATTTAATTATATAATTATAACAGAATAATATGATGTAATAAGTTAGCATTGTTTTTAAATAGCCAATAAGAACAATCCGTTGTATTGACGTTTAATCCTCTGAATAGTATTACATTTTTGTTTAAATTTCACTACTTTGTTATCCACTTCAGTATTTACTCTGTATCGTTAACATCAAGAGCCGATTTATTCTAGAAAACTGAGTATATCTGTGAAGATAGTTCTAATATTAGAATTCCTTCAATATTTTTTCTATATTAGAAATTGAGGATAGATGGAAAACTGGACGTAAAACGGTACCATACCTTTCCAACACTTGTATACGAGACTGAAGATGTGAACACTGATGTGGATAACGAAGTAGTTTAAGTAGTTTAATTAACGAAGTAGACATTTTTTTTTGTCATCAATTTTTCATCCGCACCTGTCATGGTAGTGACAATTAGCAGATTGTTGGTCATGTAGAAAATGGCAAGATAGGCATGACGAAGAATGGAACCCAGCAGCACCTCTTCCCTGGTCTGTTTACATCCTAAAATCAGGAAAGGAGATCTCTCATCCAGCTCCTTTTCAGTCGCCTCCTGATGAGCATTTCAGCCGTGGACATGTCGTTGATAAGTCCATTATGATGTCCGTGTAGTTTAGAATGAAATCGGGAGTAGAGAGTACGTATGTGCTGGTCAATGGTTGGTTATCTTAGGTCGGTATGTAAAGTCTTGTTGTTGACGTACCAGAGAGCACAAGTTATTAGTCTTAAAATTTTTGATTGAAAGGATTGTAGTTTTTATAAGTAAGTCTTTTTTGCTGAACCGTAAATCTGTGAGGCGTATGTCCAAATGGGCTTGAGCAGGTAAGTGTATGTATTTAGTTTTTGTCTAATTTTCAATTTTGATTTAGAAAACAGGGAGTATAATATTGACAGTCTCTTGTTCAAAGTCTTTCTTTTCATTTTGACGTGTGGGTCCCAGGTCATCCTTCTGTCGAATATTAGTCCGAGGTAGCGTATAGTGTCCGTCTGAGGAATTGGATTGTTGCTGATAAAAACTGGTGGGCATGTGTCCCCTCGAAGCGTAAATGTTATGTGTTGTGATTTAATCTAATTTTCCAAAGTGAATACCAATTTTGTAAATTTAGTAAGTGATTTTGTAAATTTAATGAGGCTAGTCTGGGATCTTGGTGTTTTGTTAAAATTGTTGTATCGTCAGCGTAAGTAGCAGTCAATGTTTCAGAGGTGGTAGGCATATCATGCGTATAGACAATGTAGAGTAAAGGTGCCAATATTGATCCTTGAGGCACTCCTGCTGATATTGGTCGAATTGAGGAAATTTCTAAACCCTGTCGGACAGAGAAGAATCTGTCGAAAAGGAAACACTGAAGAATGAGATAATATGTATTAGGCATGATAGATTTAAGTTTAAAGAGAAGTCCCTGGTGCCAGACTTTATCAAATGCCTGGGCAACATCCAGAAATACGCCGGTAGCATATTGTTTTTGCTCTAGCGCTCCAGCAATGTAGTCAGTAACTCTGTATAATTGGTGTGTAGTTGAATGAAATGTACGAAAACCGAATTGATGGTCAGGTATTATTTGTTGGTCAGTCAGTATGTCAACCAGTCTTTTGTATATTAATTTTTCGAAAACTTTGGAACATATCGGAAGGAGACTGATAGGTCGGTAGGATGAGGGATTAATTTCTGCTTAAACGGATTAAAGCTTTTAGTCGAGAACATTTCAAGCAAAACCTATCAATAGGATGTAAGTGGTAAGTTAAGAAGAATTGTATAACAAAAACACTTTTTTTTTTTACATTTATTGTATTATTTATATGATTGATGATATAGGGATCAATTTTTTATTGTAATAAAATATAGTTGACACGACAATCTAAGTACAATTTATTATGGGTTGTACAGGATGTCGCATTGAATTCACTCAGACTTATGTTGGGGGTGGAGTTGCAGATGTTGAGGAGAGTGTAGTGGAGGGAGTAGTGGAAGATCCCGCCGTTGGAACTAAAAATATAAAATAAAAAATAATAAATTTTAAAAAATCATAAATTAAATATAAATAAATATTGTCAAGAAAGATAAAGTGATAGGTCCTCACATTGGAATGGAAGAATTGTAGAGTAAAAATAATCAATATAATGTCACCAATTATTTTTTTTTTAAATCTTTTGTGTCCACTCACATGACTTCCCGACCTATTTTAAACAAGAAGTCACTAGACAACAAGAAATGCCTCAATAATAAACAATAAACCACGTGGAAGGCTAAAAATAAGATAGATTGGTCGAATCAACAAAGACGCAATAGAGTTGCATGGAAATAACTGGAAAGAAATAGTCCAAGACAGGCAGAGATGTAGAATGCCGGTTAAGGAGTCAAAAGATATACAAGTTCTGTTATGCCAACAGGAAAAAATATACTTCAGAATTACTAATAATATCATCACTTTTTCAAACGTTTTCCGAAAACACTACAATAATACTTTTTATAAAAAACAATAACAAACAAGAGAGACCAAGTCAGTCGAAAATACAACTTAAGTAAAAAAACTTTGTTAATATAAACTAATGATAAACGCTCTCTGTCGTCCTTTTTCCCTGTATACATTTCGGTTTTTATTTTAAGTTTGTTAGTTTATCAGAAAAGATGGTCTATGTACTCATCCTATGTATTCTGAACTTAACGTGGGGTATGTATTCTAAACATTTTGTAAAAATATATATGTATATAAACATATATATATATATAAATATATATATATGTACCGGTCATTGGAGTAGAAGATCCTTGTGGATTACGTCCGCAAGGCTTCATGTCCCCTGTGTTATGAGGCACCGATGCTGCATTTACCGAAAACTGAAATAGAAACAAGAAAAATATTAATCAAATAATAAAAAAAATTGTGATTAAAACATTTTTTTATCGAATAACATAGCATTAAAAAGGCTAAAAAGATATTAAAATACAATGCGATATTCTGTCTAACTTTATATTTATGAAAAGAATTAGTGTGAAAATATTGTCAAGATTTAAACTGGAAAAGCTTAGGATCCATTTTTAAGAAAATCACTTCAAACTTTAAATCAAATGAAAAAAAAAGAAGAAAAATTAACTGAAAAACAACAGATTTGTAAGCATTTTATTTGGTACAACAGACAAAGTGATTATTTAAATGTGAGATATGCAGATATAGACTATTATTTTTCATTGGCAATTTGATATGACATGACTTCAGATGCAAATATCGAGAACTAAATTCAAATATACGTGAATAACCACACACCAGCAGCACATTTTTGAACAGAGCCTTAAACCTCTTGCAAGTCTCTTTTATCTTTGACTTTTTTAAATTTAATCATTGTCTTTGTTTTTTTTTAATTCTTCTTTACGATAGTGTACATAGAATTTATTATCTTGAACAGGTTTTCGGCCGAGAAGGAAGGTATTCCGGCCTCTCCAGTGGCCCACTCCAAATGGGAAGACAGGTATCCCGGCCGCAACAGTGACCAACTCTCGGCCAGGAAGGCTGTTATCCCGTTCGCAATAGTGACCCTACTAACGGGAAGGCAGGAATCCCGTCCACAACCCCTATCCCCTAACGGAAAGTTAGGTATCTCGTCCGCGCCACTGACCCAACTCCAAATGGGAAGGCGAGTGTCCCGGCTGCACCAGTGACCTGGAGCTTTATTCAACATATTAAATTCTAATCTTGTATCTCTCATTATATGTTCAACCCTAAAAATGACCAATATGATTGGGTTGAAAAATAAAGTATTTAGATTATCAAAAATTGTTCATATTCCCGATTATTTATCACCCATGAATACATTTCATTGTGTTTACTGGACCTCAATTAAGTTTATCTGAACTAATCATACCATTTTCCCTCAGACTCTTTAACTTGTGAATATTAAATTTATTCAATTTCCCTAAGTAAATTTTTATACGACCCTCCAAACTTCGTCAAGCCCACCCACGTGTATGATGATGTCATAAGAAGGGTTATGGAGATGAGCTGTTGCGTTAAGTTGTTTTTTTTTAACCTTGAACTTAAAAGTAAGAACTATGTTTGTACTTTTTTCTCTTTTTTTTTGGTTTATTCAAAATATATCAGTGAGCTTCCAAATTAGGGTGAACTCCTATTTCGTATCTTTTATAGTACTCACTCAAGACCTATTTGCCTGGTGCATAATAGGTTTGGTTTATAGTTCTCTCACTTAATATTAGCATAGAATTATATCACTGAGAGTATAAAACCAATACTTGGATATCTTTTAATTTAATATTAATATCAAAAAGTTTCTTTTCATATTATCCTAAGTTCCATAGGGATCAAAAGTTATTCTCTTCAATTTGTCTCATCAATACATTTTTAGGTCGTCTAAGGTTAATATAAATAGCAATATTTTACTATTTAAAACCTGAAGATGTGATAAGTATACCTTTAGTCTGGGGCACAGATCCCTTTTTATCTAATTATTAACATCCGCCTGAAACTCTGTAAGTAACTTTATCTCATGGTAACCTACAAGTATTTTATTTATGGAAATTCTCGGGATAGAGACGTTTTCAATCTAGAAACCGGCAAACTTTGTCTATTTAATTAGGTATAAAAAACTCGTTAATACCTTTCACTTGGATCATAACATAATCGAGAAAAAGGTGGCCTTAAAAAATATCGAGCCGTTTGGCTTGACTTACAATCCCAAATTGTCAAAATAACGAGGTTCTATAGGACAAAAGGCCCTATATTTTTGTAGGCCAACTTTTTTATCAATTTTTTTATCCAATTATCTTTCGATGTAAGTTGAATAGACAAAGTTTGGCGCTCACCAGATTTAACACCCCAATTAAAAGTGTTTTCGTAAATAAAATAGTTGTAATTTACGATGAGATAAACTATTTGCGAATTTTCAGCCGGATGTTAATAAATTAATAAAAAGGGACCTGAACCACGAGCTACTTCACAACCATTTTACCTAAAATGCTTTCGACAGAAATTACGCTTTTTCTCGAAAGCAGTATGTTTTAGCGATTTTAAATGCGAAATCTCAATTAAAGAGCAATTAATCAATTCATCAACTTTTGAAGTTTTTCTTTTAATTAACTTCTTTTTTCAACGACTTTTATTTTAGGTGTAGTATGGTTTCAACTTTTAAAATAGGCGTTCGCCAATTCTCCATGAAATTTCCTTTCGTTAAGTAACTCTTTCATAAAAATTCACTGTTCCAGGGAGCTACAACAAGGAATCTATGCTACCATAGATATAAATAACAATAATAATAAGGCTTAGCGAACCCGAAGGTTCGATGCCGATACCACCAACCGAAGTCCACATTCTTCCACCCATCAGGCTCCGTCCAAACCCAACCCCGCCAAATCAGCCTTAATCTTCCTATCTTCGCTTTGGTCAACTTCTTGAACGCTTGGCAGTCGGCACAGCGCATATTAACTTTTCAGAAATTCTTACATTACTAAGCCCAGCGATTTTACATGCCCATTTTATTATTTGCCGGATAATGTTCACGTAATTTAGCACTGTGTAACTGTCTGAATTCTCCGGTATTACATATTGTAAATATTATTATTAATACACCATATTATATATAGTGAATATTATTATTGAATTGTACAATATATCTATATTATTTATAATATATTGAATAAATAAATTACAGTATGCGATTAACTGCTGGAGAAAGGACGTGTTAAGCGGAGGTGGGGGAGGGGCTTACTGGGTAAATAAGTGCGGACTGGAACATTGATTGATTCGGATCTCATCTTGTCGGGACATGGCCAGTCGACTCCCACACACAACTGCCCGCATTAGGGATGCTATGTTAGTCTAGCACTGCGCGAGTAGAGATATTGCTTCTTAGATGGTTTGTCCTTAGCAAATATATGTGTGTATGTATATACCTATATATAATATTAAAATATTTTCATTAATCGATCTTTACATATTATAAATTAAGATAGTATCTATAGTCGGATAATAGGTCATTTTTTTTTTCAAAATTGTACTCTTTGTTCTGAATATGATATTCTCTGATGATTTTATGAAATTCGAACTTTTAGGAATAAGACGATAAGTACCACCACATACACCATGCATCCTAGATAGCACTAAGAATACTTATCATCATATTCAGAACACAGAGTTCGATTTTGAAAAAAATTACCTACTATCCGACTATAATTACTACTACTATAATTAGTTATATATATATATATATATATATATATATATCGTTTGCATTGTCGCATCAACCAAAGGGAGAAATTTCTGGGCTTGTTATAATCGCATGGTATCAAATCTTGCCTAGTCGATACGTGAAATAGATACAATTGTTGTTCGCATGAACTTCGCCTCCGCCATACGCTGGCAGAGGAAACATCGAAACGACGTGACAATATTCTGGTTGTAGTAGAAGGAGATAACAGAATAGCATTAAGTATTTCTTCTTCAACGTTTTCAGTTGTCGAAATCTTTGTCGACCGGTGTTTACTCGTATAATTTTTAATCTGCCATTATCCCTAAGGTGTCTTTCAATAGCCTCAAACGTTTTATAGTTTGGTATTCTCCGGTTTGAAAATTTTTCTAAATATTTTCGAACAGCAGCAGCACCGTTTCTATGTACCTCACCATAAGTTAAATGTCTGTTTGTTCTGCAAAAGTGAATAAATTTATGGTGTCTCCCATGATAATCATGGGTCACAGTATTCACTCACACTAAAACACACAGAACTAGACAAACAGATGAGCAACTACTGTCATTGCTTATCGTTCATTTGTTTATCAGGTGATTAAAACCTGTTATTTAGTATTAAACATGTTAAACTTTGCACAGCCAGTCTTAATGTAGTTAATAAATAATAAATCTTTAACCTTTGATATCTGTTTAATATATGAGTTTTATGATATATAATAATATGAACTTTTTTGTTTATCTTGTGTTAGTGAACACATATCTAGAATAGTGCCGTGCAATTACGAAATACCCTGTATACAGTGATCCAGAGTCAAAATGATACATCTGGATATTGATAGAAATATTGAACAATAGTTTATTTTAATCAATAAACATCCTAGTAACATTTTAATTTCTTATGTTGTGTTATGTTTTATGCTCTTTTCTTATGTTATGTTTCTTGGCTCCTAGTGGCATGGCGGCTTCTGTTGCAGGAAATCTTCTTTTTATAATTGAAATATTCATATGGTACAGAGAAAAAACATGTTTACATGACCAATTTGAGAAGAAATAATGATTCCGAACACTCTGCCATGTTTGTTAAGGAATGGCTATTTTATAGCTCCCCCAAAGTTATAAAAACAGTCACCATATCTTAATATGATATAACACCTGAGGGCATAATTGGAGGTAGATATTAAAAAACACGGAACTTCTAGCAAAGAAGACCTAGAAAAATATCTCATCAAAGAGTGGAACAAGCTAAGCCCAGAATTTGCCAAAAAAAAAAAAATATATGGTTGATTACATCATAAACAAACTGAAAGAAGTGGTAGAAAATAATGGCATCCCTACAAGGTATTGGACTAAATTAATAGTATTTGAAAGTTAATAATAAGTGAGGTGAATCATTTCTACAGTGAGGGAAAATTTTATTTAAAAAAAAAAACATTACAGTTGAATTTAGAATGTTCATTGAGTTTTTACATATTTAAATTGAATGGTTACAAATTGATAATATATAGATAATATATAGATAGTACCAAGTGTATTAACCAGTGTATGTGAGATTGTTATTTACCAGCTTTCTTTTGTGTTTATTATTGTTTCATGTTTTTCGTTCTTGTTCAGTATGCCTTAGTTTCATTCGTTTTGTTGTTTTTATGTACATTTTTTAATTTTTGTGTTTTTATTTTAAAGTGTAAATAGACTTGAACTTTGTAGGTTAGGTTGAACTTGTGTTTTATAGTGCTAAGCAACTTAGTCTTGATTTCCTTGCGGTGCTTGGTAGTTATAAGGTAAGTACTGCTATATAAAAGTTTCCATTAGACGCACAAAGACTTATAAGACATTTGGAAAATAAAGCATAATTATAGTGGAAGGTTATACAGGTTAGTGAAATTTTCTACTTTAATAAGACTATTACTGTTGTATTGTTCATTAAACCAGTGAGAATGGAAGATTCGGAATCTCCTACCAACCTTATCCGTACTGCTAAAAGAGCTCGGAATGGTTCTCCTGACGTTAGTGAAAATGCAAAAGAGGCAAAGAAAATACGCGTGAATAGTTAGTTAGTGAAAATAGTTAGTGATGCTAGACGAATCCAGGAGAGTCTCCGGGCTTATTTAAAGCGGAACAATAAAAAACCCGTTGGGTCAATTCGAAATCATATTAGCAACAAAATACAGTCTTGTTGATATGATAGAAACCCTTAAAGACGGAAGAAAAGATGGAAGTGTTTCATTTTTCGTAGAAAAGGCGATTAACAAGACACTTCTGTCACAGAAAGTACGTGATACGCAAACTATAATTGAGGCCTCTGCGCCGAAAGTAATTGAGGCTCTTTCGGCTACCAGTGATATATCTCAGCGTAAGCACATTTATCCTGGGTCCTCTAGAGAGCTGCAATCTACAGCTAGTGAACCTATTGGAGAGAGCTCCAGAGAGGTAGAGCAACAAATGCCAAGAGGAGATATTGACCTAGCTTTGTCTTTGGCAAACACAAGGGTTTTCGAGACAGTGGTGAGTAAACGAAATAAGAGAAAAGCAAAAGAAGCGGCTAAAAGTGAAGATGATAGCTCAAAGGAACCAAAATCAAATGAGAAGAAACCTAAAAGTATGCAGAGATTGTAAAATCACTGCCAAAGAAACCCACTCAGACTCTGAGACCAACTTACATCACCATAAGT